TTATCCTTATCCTCTGAGCATTTTTCTGCATTATCTTCAGATCCATGCTTTACCTTTTGCAAAATGTATGTAATTTTAGATTGCTTGCTTCTAGTTAAAAGATCTTTATAAATTTCCTCATATGGTGCTAAGCACTTATGAAGAATAAAGCAAGTATGAAATAAGGGAAAAACATCTGGCATGTTCAGAAGCAGAAGCGTCAAAATCTGGCAACACTGAAACAAGTTTCGAGAAGGACCATGTGTATCGACAGAAGGCGAAAAAAAGAATTTACATACTTAAATACTAACAGTTCACGAAAATAATAATATTCGTGAACTATTATTACTTAAGTATGTAATAATTTATTACATTTCATGTTGTACGAGGGTTTTACTCAATTTTCGGACCGTGTGAGAGTGAATCCGTGCTATAACAGTACCGTGTTATACGGGGGTGGTACCAATTATCCAACCGTGTTACAGTGAATCCGTGCTATAGAAGTGCCGTGTTATACGGGGGTTTACCTGTATTCGATTTATATAACTACAAAGGTTATCTTTCGTAGGAGTATATCACATCGGATGACAAATCTAAGGCATTTTAAAATTTTTTACTTCTACTGTAGTGTATATAATTTTAAAAAAAATTTAAAATACAGGTAACCCTCGTATAACACGGTACTTCTATAGCACGGATTCACTCTGACACGGTTCGAGAATTGGGTAAAACCCTCGTACAACATGAAATTGCATGGTTTCATGTTATGAATAGTTCAACACCCAATTTTTCATTACAAAACAGATTATCCCTTCAAATGTGTTTATGGCATTAACACACCAGAACGAAATAATATACTTGATAATACAGATTTAATGATAGTATGAGACGTGTATCTAAAAAATCAATTCAAAAATAAATAAAAAAATACTTATATCTATTAAATCTATTAAAGATTTATTTTTCGACCTTAGTTTAAAATTTTTTAAATACCATTATATCTTAACATGTAAAGTAAATCAGGATTCTTTAGAAAATCTGTTTTCACATATTCGAACTAGAGGTGGTTTAAATGATCATCCTAGTCCACTCGAAGTAATATATAGAGTAAGAATGATAATTTTAGGCAAATCACCAGGGATATTGCGAAATAAATTAAACATAGAAGATTAGATAGCTAAAATTATTTAATAAATAAAATGTTTAAGAGGCAGATTTACTGCAAGAAATTTCAGATATGTCTAGTTCTAAAGAACAAGGAATATCTGAAAATTCATGCAGTGTAAATGATGATGATTTATGTGATATATCTCAGGAAAATGTAGAATAAAAAATGATCGATTACAATATTTAGCAGGGTGGATTGCGAGAAAATACAAAAAAATATGCAAATTTAGAAAGTGTCAGTCACGAAAATAAAAATGAACATAATTATACAATGATGTTCCTTGTTCAGGATTTATCTTTTGGTGGAATGTCACAACCATCGGGAGATTTCTTTAATTTAGTTAAAAAAAATGAAATCAATTTTTACAAAAACTGTGAAACTGCATTTCAAATGTAAAACGGTTTCATCTATTACATCATTAATTAAACAGACAATTAACTTGCCAGTAGACATTATATACACGTACGTAAAGCAATGTGTATAGATTAGATTGAAATTTTTGAACAATTTAATTAAATGTGATCGTTCCGCTGCGACAAGAAAAGTAAATTGTAATAACAATAGAAAATTAAAAAAAAGTTTGTACCTGATTTAATTGTTTTTATATAGCATTTAATTTGTACATATTGACATAAAAAATGTGTTTATAACATAAAAAGTTGTTCTTTTGAAACTTAATTTGTATACATTAATATCAATAATATCGTTTTCGGTACATGAGTATTAAAAATTAAAAAATAGACCAATATTATTTTTAGTTCAAAAAAATATAGTACTTTGACGATAGAAATTAAATTAATTTAATTATATATAAATCACCTACGTAGGATTTACCAAAATTAATCTTTTTAAGAAGCTATTGTTGTTATAAAATCATAAAATAAATAAAATAGATTTCATTTACAAAGTAAAACAACTCATTTTAACTTCAACTTTACACGTAAAAATTATGAAGATTTGCTCAATATTCCGGATTTTTCTTATTTATAATCAATTTATATTTTTATTTAATTAAGTAAGTATCGTAATTAATAAAATATTAGCGTGTAATTAAAGCTACGAGCCTCTGATCGGTAACGTTTCTACCATAAGGACATAGTAAGATGTTTCGTTTTCGACTACGAGTGACGTCAAATAAGCAACCAATGAGAAGCGTTTCTTCTCTATGAGGCAACCTGATAAATCTAAGACCTTCACCTTTACTTACTTCGGTAACAAATCCGCCCCTGGTCGGAGTCGGTAGATTTTTACGCGACTCCACAGCCCTGGATGCAACAGTTGTCTGGGTTATCGATGTGACGTGATACAGGAATTTCCAGAAATGTCAGAGAATGACATTTCCAGAGAAGTAGTGTAAGTGTGCGAGTAAGTTACATATTTAACAACTCGAGATTTGTATAATTCAGATTAGAAGACCTCCGCCTTCGTATAGTCAAGCGACTAATCAACATTCTTCTCTTGGAGGATCCGGCTTGACTTTTATAGATGTCTTACCAGATGTTATTGAAGAGGGATTGTTCTCTTCAGAATATGAATCTTTTGGGTGAGTATATTGATATTTTTAATTATAGATAATCGTTGTTGTCCTAGTTAAATTTAATTAAATACACAGCACACTCACTAATCTAGATCTTAATAACCTGGCCTCTCAATTATCCAGTATATTCCTCTAGTTATGAGCTTTGGTTTCCACGAAAATGTTAATCATGTCATATATCAAATTTTCTTGTTTTCTTGAGTTTCATTCATTTTCTGTACAATATTGCATTTTGCCATACTTTATTATTTTCCTGTCTGCCTGCCTTCCAAAAGAATCAGTACTAAAGAGTTACAGATAATACCATTTATTGGCTTTTTCCTATATATTCTCAATAATCTGGCACCATCTGTGTAAGGAATGACCAAATTAGCAAAAGTTTATTGTGGCAATGGCAAAACAATTTTCTGAATACAGGTCAATCAAATATCTGATTTCACTAATTAAAAGAAATAAAATAACAAGGAAAATGCTTACAAATTTTACTTTATTTAACTTTTTGGTAGTCAGTTATTTTTGGTAAAAAAACAAGAAAGAGACAATCATAGAAATGCAATAAAATACTCTTTTGCCCTTCCGTTGCCCCTTGCCTTTACATGTTCACAAAGCCAGAACACTTTGTTCCAAAAAAATGCACTTTTCGTCCCTTGACTTCCTTTATATGCCGTCTAAGTGGTTCTCTCTATAAGTGACAGTCAATTGAAGAAAGCAGTAGGATCAGAGAAAGAACAATGAAAAAATAGAAGACATGTGATAGAGAGCATTATTGGGAAAATAGAAAAGTAAGGATAGCAAAACATGAAAAAGGAACAAAGAGAGATTAGAGAGAGGGAATCTTCTAAATTATATAAATTAATCATGGCAAACAGTCACACATTAATAATGATTTTCTTTGACTATTAAATCACTTTTCTACTTAAAAAGAATATTTTGATATATTTTGTAAATGAATTTATTTAGTAGAAAAAATTAATCCTGGAAACTATTTCCTTTTAAAGAAATAAGAAATTATAATTATTTATCAGTTTACTTTTTATAATTTTTAAGTAAAACAATGTCAAGTGAATTTTTTTAATCGACAAATGAAATATAAAAAATAAAATTAAATCAGTTTATTTACATTCATTTAACATTGTCAAGCAAAAGAAACGTGAGTGATTGTATGGCTTCTGTGAGAACCAGTTTCCAATTAAAAACTGTGGAAAAAATTTAGATAGCTTAAAAATATGAATAAAAAAATTTAATTTACATCATTTCTGACACTTCTATTGATATAAAAGACTTTCATATTGATAATGTTGTTTATTTTATAAATGTTTTTTAGTCATTTGTTTACAAGGATGGTGCCAAGTTTTTAAACTTTGATGATAAAATTTTTATGTAATATTCAAAAATGCAAATGAATAAACAAGTCTAATTCTCCTCTCAAGTGTCTCTCAACCATGAACTGTTTTTATATTTTTGTATCCTGAAGGATTCTGTTAAAAGATATCAATCTCAATCTTTTAACAGGATTCTTCAAGATACAAAAAATATAAAAACAGTTTATGGTTGGGAGATACTTAAGTAGATAATAATGACAGGCTGAAATTTGAAGAAAAAATAATAGAAAAAAACATCACAAAGTCATTTGGTAATCTGAGAGAAGCCATACATTTTTTATGAAAAATGATAAAACCAATGGAAACATTTCTATAGCAAATAGTAGTAATAATAATAGTAATTTTATAATAGCTTTATTTTTAATATGGTAATAATTTTTTCAGAATGTTTGACTGAGTTTTTGGTATTTTTTATTACATGCTTTTTATTAAGTTAGATTGACAACAAAGGGACAAACAGTGCAGATAAAATAGCGAGGTTGCGACCAAAGTTTTCATCTCTAAAATATGAATGTTGAGCACCACTTACAAGATAGTGGCACTTGATGTTTGACGTTCACATTTTAGAGATGAAAACTTTGGCCGCAACCTTGCTATTAACTCAATTTTTACCCACTTCCTAATCTCTGATCCAGTTGAAACTTTGCATACATATGTATTCCTAATGACAATATGTTTTTTTAGTTTGCAAACAAGTTTAGCAATTAGCAAATAATTAAAATTTGTAAAAATCTGATAGCAGATTATACTATAATAGGGCAACCGTTATCCCCTTTTAGTTGTACTGTTAACATATTTCTTGTAACTCAGTTTTTTACCCATTTCCCAATTAAATGAAAAAACAACAAAATGCTGATAATTCAGCTTGAGTCATTCATGTTTAGATATATTGTTACACTTTATATTAATTTTTATGGGTTTTCCATGAGCACCTCATGCTTTATTTTTGGTTGCATAATACCAAGAATACTTTGAAAGTTTAAAAAATTTGTTTACCTGTTTAGTGTATTTATATGAATAAAAAACATTTCTTTAAATTTTATATATGTATACATTATGATTTTAACCCTTAAATACTGATATATAGTTCTGGATTGCATCAATTTTTAAAATCCCATTTTCTTTATTGCTATTGTTATGTGGATAAGACATTAGTAGCTTCAAGTCATGTCCATACTTATGACATTACATAGAGTTAGTGTTTCAGAAGAGATTAGATTTTTCTCTCTGTGATAGACATACAGAGATTGCATGTCAATGATACATAACTTTTCCAGTTACTGGTCTGTGTGCACATTTTATAAAGAGTCAGCTTTTCTGATAACATTTTCCTTTTTTGAATGCCCAGAAGCATTCTGGGATATTTCTGGTTCCTGAAGAAAGTTGCATTTCAAGTCAATCAACAGTGTAATTCATTTACTGTTGCCACGTTTTCAAAGCTGTTCACCTGGACAAAACTGCAGAAAGAATAAAATAATAAATATTTTTGAAACTATTAACTTGGACAATTAGGCTATATAGATGAGCAACAGTAAAATGTACCGTATTTATTCACGTATAAGATGATCTCGCATATAGGACGAGGTGTGACTTTAAAGATCAAAATAAAGAAAATTAGATCTATTAATGCAATTCTAATTTTATTTTGTTTAATCACAAATAAAATATCAAATACACATAAATGCACACATTGTCCCACAAAAATTACTGACATTTTAAACTTTAAGGAAAAATCTTGTAAAATTGACAACATAATTTATTCATGTAAATCAGGAACCGTTTTTGCCAATTCTTAACAGTCAAATTTACTCTTCATTGATTACACTTAAGAGTTTCTCTGAATTCTGGTTTCCAAATAATCATCTGTTTTCATGTGGGAATGGATTAAAACTTATATTGGGCTCACGTGTGATTCTGGAATTTAAATTTGGAATTCAATTCAAAAGCTTTGCTTTTCCTATTGCAATTCATCTTTACTCTTGACAATAAACAAAAGCAATTCAAATGATCCAGATAAAAACTTTTGTTTTTAAACACAAGAAAGTGAGCTTCATGTAGAAGATGCAAATATACGGTTCACAAAAATTATTGCAAAAATGCAAGTAATCCATTGCTCACATGTACAGAACAACCTACATTTTTGAAGCAGTGAAAAATGAATGAAAACCTCATCTTATATGTGAGTAAAAATTGTCTGAATGAAACATTGGACAGACTCGTGCAGAAATTTTCTTTATTTACTTTTATGTTCTTTCTAGTAGAAATTTTAGAAATACTAACCTGTGACAATAATTTCAGACATTATCAGTAATCATAAGATATAACCATATTCGGTAAGTAACCGAATATGGTTATATCTAAAATAGTTTCTGNTGTCGGGTCCAGTCCCTCACCACCCTGTCGCCCGATTGTGTGCCTTGCCGAACTCTAATGGGCCTGCTATACTCTTATAGCAGAACCATTAGGGTTTTCCCTCTTAATGCCCACAGAGTGGAAAGAGTAAAAAAAATAATAATTTGTCGTCTTTATGTTTGTTAACTTTTATAAATATAATACTTTAAAACTCTAAATTTATTCATTTATAACTTTTGCATTTCTTGTCAATCATCAGAAATACCTACTTTCAATTCATATACTTTGCACAAAGGAGAAGGGCCTCACAAAGATCTGTCGCCCGGAGCATCGCAATGGTTAAGGCCGTCGCTGCCCTGGAGTATGCACGAGCGCGCGTTATTTTTTATTCGCGTATTAGGCTCCAGTTTCACCACGGTGTCACGTGACCGGAAATGACGTAGCCGAATTTTCAGCGGCTTATATCTCGCAAAGGGTCGAGCATAAAAGTATCGTTCCTTTGACTTTATTGTTCAAACAGGAAGGCTACATTTTGGGGGAATCGCAACCCGTTCATTCAAAGCATAAATATTACCATTGGGACTTTAACAATGCTGTAGAGCATATTGATAGGAACGAAAATTAAAAGATATCGTGCCTAATGGAAATTTGTAAAAAACGAACACTACAGGGCGGCCAGGGCTACTAGTTATAGGTTATAATATTGAGTTATAGGTTAATTAAAATTAAATTAAATATTTGATTTCTCTCCTCGAGATAGATCTAAAATATATCATTTGTAATCCTATTAATTGAATTATTATGTCGTTTGATTCAATTCGATTTGTTTGTTATTTGTTTATGATATAGTCTCGTTAATGACTAAATCTAATGCCTTCGTCGACTCCACTTGCGATTCTCTTACTCTTAATTCCTCACAAATACGCGATAATCTGCATCTTCACTATCCGGTGTCAAGAAAAACCAACGTTCTGGAGTTCACAAGAACCCTGTTTATAATAAACGTATTAGGACGCCATTCTTAAACGACCGCGGGCCTGTTTCTCCAACAAAACAGCCGGTTAAGAAGTAGATGGGTTTTACTAACTCCATATCCCCGGCTAGCTCCTCACATTTATATTTAAGAGATTTTTATAACTCTAAATTTAGGCTAATAAACGAGTTAATCGGGTCCTGTGATTTTCGGACGAAGTTGGATAGATTCATTAATAGAAAAATAAACATAGGGTATTATTTTTCATAATTAAAAGTTAAATGATTTCGTGCCAAAAAAATTCATAAAACTTCTGTATTCTGTAAACTGTATATCATATAATAAACATGTTTTAGATGAAGGTATTACATTTTATTTTATTTAATTGCAATTAAGAAGCGTTACAATATTTCTGTTGGTGGACAATAAAAAGTTGTTGCTATTATTTTTTGCCGCATGATTTATTAGGAAGAGGATAAGTCGGTGTACTTTCGGGCAAACCTTCGCACCAGCATGCGAAAGCGTAGCAATACCCGTAACTACCTCCTTGGTTCTTCGCTTTGCATTCCATATCGCAGTGTTCGTTTTTTCCCAACCAAAAGCAATCGTATTTGCAGCCATCGCTCTTCTTCACCAGATAACCTTCCTTTGCCCACACTGTTCCTGCAACAAACACAAAAAAATAGTCTTGTTCAACCGTAAGAAATAATACTTATTAATACAATAAAATTAAAATATTTAAATGCTTTGCACTCAAGATGTGTAAAAAAAGTACATTATTATTGTATCACTTAAACTATAAAACTGAAAATAGTCCTAAATATAAATATGCTATTTTAAACAGTAGACAGATGATGTGTCATTCGTAACCTTCTATTTATCTGAGACTTACCTAGCCAGAAAAACGACATTATAATAAAAATCTTGAGGATACAATTTCTTGTAAATGTGAATTTATGATGTTATTCTATTAACTCACTTCTCTCAAGCCAACGGATAGATTAACTGCAAATGCTTAGAGAATTCTACAAATCAAATAGCACTAAATTAAAAATATTGCCAAAATATTCATACTTAAATAAAAACACCATCACTGATCAAGTAAGAATATCATTAAACTGATTTACTTTACACGTCTAACTCTTAAATAGAGAGTAAAGTACTAGAGTAATAGAGATAGAAATTAGAATAATAGAGATTAGTGACCCGTAGAATATCCCCCTGAAAAGAATACCTTCTTGAAAGATTGCTGTTGTGTTGTATTGCCATCCATCAATCGAATGCATATCTCATAATACATAAATAATTCAACTTTAATAGAAGTTGTGGCATTTCGATCAGTTTAATACAAATCGTTCTAATTTCTGAAACACTAGAATCAGTTTATCTGAAGTTTTATAATTTTTCAACGAAATATTTCTGTAAATATGAATTTCGATTTAAGTCTTACATGAAAAAACAAGGTATAATCTGCGAGTGTTTTCATTTCCACAAAAAATACAATATAATGTAATAAATATAACGCGAATTTCATAACTTTTTAATGAACTATGCCATTTAAAAAATTAACAACCAATTTAATTAAGTGTAAGTTCATACTCACCGACCAGGGCGAAACAAGCAGTGATGATCAACAACGAGTTCATCTTCGATGGTATCTAAACGAGTTTAGAATGAGTTACCACGAGCAGAAGTCGATATTTATACACATCCAATGCGAACAGGTACAACACGTACACGTGGATTCTGCATGTTCGATCCATCTGTTTTTACCAATTATAACAACATTAATGAGCCATTAAACAGAGAGGTCACATTTTTCAAATTTCTCTATTTGCAAAAGGAATTAAATTCGTACCGAGTACAGAAATGTTTATGTGAAATATAAATGAATGTCATTAAATTTTTTAAAATAAAAGTCACTTATTTTACTTTTATTTGAACAAGTTCTTGGAACACTTCACGATCATTTAGATATTTCATATTTAGAGGCATGTAATAATATGTGGTGATTTTCTCGTTTGATCGACACCACTAAGCTATCCTCTGTTAGGACTTTTTTCAAAGTCTGCATACATGAAATATTTCATGTAATTATTGACAAACATTTTGGAAAAGAAATGAATTTGCGATTTATAATCGAAATAGTACTTTATTATAATGAAAGTGAAGATTTAAACATTGAATCTCTTCCTCTAAAAAACTTCAAACTTCTCTATTAAGTGTTGCAGTTTATGTAGAATAAACGAGAATAAGTGAGAAGTACAGGTATACCTCGCCTTACGTCTGTAATTGGTTCCAGGAGAACGACTTAAGTCGAAAAACGACGTAAGTCGAATTTATTTGTCTCCGAATCTACTTGCCACTAGGCTGAACCATAAATTACTAATACCCGTTCTGTATTTTATTTATTAATGCACTTTTAATAATATATGGTGAATAAGGATCTATTTTAAGCTTACAAACAAATAAATTTTAGTTTTTAATATAGTACAGAAAAAAGTAATTTAAATTTACGAATGCATGTACTGTAAATACAGTACATACTTGTAAATGTATATATTTTAATATGATTTTATGTGCTTTGAACGCTTTTCTAATGATATTACGACTTCAATATTTGTGGCGGACAGATGTAAAGTCGAATAAAATGACTTAAACTTGATTTTTATTTTTCCATATACTTTTTTAACAAGCGACGTATAATTGGGAACGACGTAACTCGAAACGACGTAAGTCGAGGTATACCTGTATTGATTCATCAGGATAATACAGAGCGAGAGAGGGGTCATATGTTAAATATACTGTATATCTGGAGTAAAGACGAACTGAATGTAAATTTTTATTTTTGATTGGCATTTGTAATATTTTGTAAAATTTCTTTTTCTCTGAAAAATTGTCTCTTTGTAATATAAAAATGAGTTGTTAGTAAAATCCCGTAACAGATGGAGCCACGCACATTTTAACGTGCGTGGCTCCATCTGTTTTTAAATAGAGATTTTTTATCGTAATTCAACTAAATTAGTTGCTTTAATCTTTTGCTAGTAATTTCATTTTATATCGTTGTATAATTGAAAATTACAGAATGATTACAGCCATTTTCTTTGAACGTTTCTTAATTTCTTTGTTAGGATTTTGTGATTAAACTAATAAGTAATTTTAAAGTAAAAGAATAGCCTTAGAGAGACGAAATTGTTTCAGGTCAAGCTAAGGGAAAGAATATTCGCTTAGATAATACCAAAAAATTTTCTGTTATTCCCACTGCATATAAATCTTGGATTAATAAAAACCTTCGTCAAATGCACATGTTAAACAAGGCTAGGCTTTTAAATATCTTAGATATTTTTCAAAACTAAGTACAGCTAAGCTTAATGAAGAAAGGAATATTTAAAATTAAAAAAATTACTACTTGATTCATTATTTAGTCAAAAATTGAATGACGATGATCAAACTGTTTTTTAAAAAAGTTGTGACAGTTTTTGGCAACAGAAAAATAGTTGAAGAATGGCTCTTTAACTACACATTTACATTCGCATTTCAAGTATTTTTTCCGAAAATTTCGGTGCCATCAGTAATAAACAAAAATTAATGATATTCTTAAACTGAAAATATTTACGTGCTCAAAAATTATGTTCGCCATATTCATAAAAAGTTTTCTTTATACAACTATATACTCGCTATAATATAAGTTCTATAAATGTTGTTGTTTTTATTTTATTTGTTGAGTAGTGTAATCAGACATTGTTCCTGATCCCTTTATCCCACCATCTGAGTGCCATGAAAGCCGAGAAAAGCCCTACTCAGTTTTTTCATTATTGCTTGATCATCTCATACTGAATTTAGCAGCAGTGTTTCTCGACAGCACATTATCGTATCAGTAAAACGGAAATAGATCTTCGGGTGCCTATAATCAAATGTAAATATGATATATATTTGGAATTATATTATTAAAATGCGAAGAAAGGGTACTTAGATAAGTTTAAAGACCTTTTAAGAGTAAGTTTTTCGAGGAGATCGTTCACTCTCTCTTTTTTCCCTGCAAGAAACAATGTCCAAAATTTTGTTTTTATTGTACATTGTCATGACTAACCCTGTGTACTAAATTTCAACTTTCAACTCTTGAACGTTGGGGCTTTGCGTTTAATATTATTATTATCAACTCATCTCGATTATATGCATATACCTGTAATAACGTAGTATTAGTTAATATAACAGTAAGAGTTGAAATAAAAAATAAATTAAATAAACAGTCAGTTAAAAACTAATTGTTTTTAACTCAAACAAATAAATAAACACAGCAAGTTTTATTATAATTATGTCTCAGTTATTAATAACATCTGATGTGTGTCTAATAACACATACCATTAACTGCTTTATTTAATACACATGGAAACAAGCAAATGTTCCAAAGCAATAATTTTTAACGTAACTTCACAAGATAACAGCATAAGTCTCTCACAGGCAAGATATTTTGTAAATTAATAGTGCAATCAACGTAGACGTTTCTAATTTGCCGGCATTCGCTAAAGTCTAGGGCGAATTTCCTTTGTTTTCTCTGTAAAAATTTACTTTGCTATGTCAGTCCTTGTTGAAAATACGAAACCGTTGTTAATCACAAACTTGTACTGCATTAAAAATAATTACTAATGTTTTAAGTTTATTCTGAAATATTAAGAAGGAATTCAGAACAGACTTTCACCAATGAATCGATTAAATATTAAAGTACTCGGTCTGAAAGAAACTGTTGTTTCCATGCTGTATACATATGGGTCAAGTGACATTAGTGCGTTCTCTTGTTAATCTTATAATTTTATAGAGATTAGCCAACATTTTATTAATTTTGTTTTTATAATTTTGAATAAGAGAAACATTTATACGATGGCAATAGTAAGTTATTTTGTTTGGTTCATTTATAAAGTTGTATAATGTAACATCAACGGATAAGCGATATATACTGAGACAAACAAATGTGCACAATGATCATAAAATTTTCTGTATATTTTAATAGAATTCCTAACAACTGACTGTATTGGTCTTAATTTCCTAATTTATTTGCAACTGCAACGAATCACTTTATTTTTATTGAAGAATTTATGACTTTGAACGAAGAAAACATTTCTTTAATTACAGAGAAAACCTGTTGAGTTTCATCAATAATTTTATACATTATGTTATTCGGAAATAAAATAATGTATAAACCGACTTCATCCATTTCATACGAACTGCTTCCATGGCAACTTGCCACGTAAATCCCCGCAGAGTTAAAGCTAAAATTCACCCAATTACAATTTTTTACTTTAATTTAAGATATCAGTTTATCAATTTGTTTATTTATTGTCTATTGACAATAAATAAACAAAATCGCAGACAAAATCAAATAAAAGTAAAGATTGAGCTTCAGTGAGCGTTTGTTTTATTTCATTAAACTTTATTCTCTTTATGAATTTCATTGTAATGATTCAAAATTTTTTGTATGTTTCTTTTTAGATGAAATGTTTTCAACTGGTAGCGAAAGTACGACAGTTTCCATTAGCAAATCAACGATATATTATAATATTAGTCTATTAATCTTTAAATGTTTGATACAATTTGGCAAAACTGATTAGGTATACCTTAATCCTAAAAAAATTCGGCTATTTAATTCCTAGATGGTTTGGAGTTTGCAGTTTACCATTACATCTTTATTTACGATGTGTATCTTACATTCAAATGCAGTCAAACTCGGTTATAACTAGCACTAGGGGACTGGCAAGATTTCTTCGTTATACCTTTTAATCGTTATCCTTGAAGAGCAGTGACATAACTTGGATAATACGGGCGGCAGCTTTGGGCGCAAACACGTATGCGAATCCCCGCAAGTGCGAAAATTTTGTAGCTACGCCAATGATGTTTATTGAAGTTATTCTCTTAATTTTTGATGTATGAACTTTCATGAAACTGTTCGAATTTATGAAAAAATACTCAATTGAACATGATTACTTTTCCTCACCAAAAGACAGTACATTTCTTGAATCTATTTATCAGGTTCGTTCGTGTGTTCGGAATACAAATATTGAAACAGAATGATGGTCCAGTCGATAGTAAAAGTTAAACTAATTTTAATAACTTTTAATTAAATGCGATATTTAAGAGAATTTATTTCCCACCTAGTTTATACGATTTGTTGCAATAATATAAACACTTTATTATCACAAACACGGCAATTATCTGATCATTTTACAAGAATTTTGGGATGCAATTTATAAAAAAAATTATAGACCTATAAATTCCCACTGTTCTCTTTGTGCCGTCTGCCGGTCTTTTGAAAATCTGAAAAACGGAGTAAGAAAGATGAAAGATGAGGAAATCCAAGTGCCGGGAGGACCCGATTAACAGTATATGAATATCCGACACAAACCGAAAGACACGTTATTTTACTTTGAACGTATACCTCTGAAAAGTGTTAGATAAACGACCGGCACAACTCTACTGTTAAAAAGAAATATGATGTACAGAAAGAAGACACTACTAATTTCAGGTAGAGAGAATATATTTTAAATTAAATTAAATAAATGAAAAATATGATTAAAAATTACAGCCCGGAATTTTGATTATGTCACAATAAATTATTTTATTCAATCAAGTCTTATATCAAGTCTTTCGGACGTTAACTTTCACAACTTCACGGGGTCATCACAACCTGTCTAACAAGGATAACTTCTCA